ACGAATGAGCAATTCGGGGTGAAAAACCAACACAAAGGGATAATGTGGACAAAGTACGCCACATTCTCGCATGCGTGTCCGATGTGCAAAGCGTACTGTACACAGTTGCGAATCCAGTTCAGCTTGTCGAGCAATTACAACGAATCGGGGTCATTTCAAACGTCCACAGGATATCTGGTTTAAACACAGTTGTGTTAACGACACCTTGATAGTCATGGTGTGTTATTGGACTTCAGCGGAATGATTTCGGTACTGTTTGATCGAAGTTTACTCATCTTGGTTTAGTTGTATAAGGTAAGGATGCTGCTTCCTAAGTGACTGGCTGGCTTGCCGAACAACCTCCTCGTGGTGCCAGCTGGGTGGTTCGGGTTTTTCCCGTTCCAGCGAATGGTTCGGCGGCAGTGTTCCAGGACGTGGTGTGTTTTCGCCTGGCAAGCGTTCTCCCTATAAAAAGCCACTTATGTCCGTTTAACAACACTGCGACGTGGCGGATGTGACTCGCCACTAAATAAAGTCACTGCCCCTTGCCCCTCCCTGAGAGGCATTGTACTTTATGGGTGAGTTGGGCCCCTGGTCCTTCACGGACCGAAAGGCGTATGAACCATCTACTTGGTCACCGGCTCCCAACGGGTTGCGACGCCCTCACATCGCCCTGCTGCCTTGTAGGTTAGATCTTTGATCAAAGGCTCGGGGTAGGGCCCCCTAAGACAACCCTCTACTTCGGCCTGGGCAACCGGATAGTATCACGCCCGCTGACGAATCATGGACTACACCGCTCACTACTACTACTGCTATGCCGCTCTTCTGTCTTAACTCAACCGCTCAACGTCCACTCACAGACCACCCCACCTCCCGTCCTTCACCTACATGTACTCTTGTGTCTTCTACGGTCACCGTCACAAACGACCCACGTCTCGCAGCTGATGGAAGTAACAGCCAAACTCCCGGTTTTCAATGTCCTGCGATCGCAACCACCTCTCACTCCACCGAAGCTCCAGCTCTTCTTCGACCTGGTTCTCCATTCATCCTCGCAGCGTTTAATGTTCGAACTTTGATGCAGATCGGACGACAAGCATGTCTGGCCCGTACTCTTGAAACGCTATCGGTAGACATCTGTTGCCTTTCAGAGACCAGATTACAAGACTCTAGCGCCGTCATCAGAATGGCCTCTCCGGTTAACTCTGACGCCAAATACTACTTGCGGCTTTCCGGAGACCCAGAATCTGCCGCCACTGGTCAAGCTGGTGTTGGGGTTGTACTAAGTGCCAGGGCTGAATCAGCTCTGCTTGACTGGATCCCAGTCAACAGCCGACTATGTGCAGTCAGACTAAGAGGTTCATGTAACGTAAGCAGGCGTCGAGATGTTAAGCGTGCCTTATTTGTCGTCTCCGCCTACGCCCCTACAGACTGCAGCCCGGATGCAGTTAAAGATAGCTTTTACCAACAACTACATGAACTTCTGCGTTCCTCCAAACGGACGGATATAGTCATTCTTGCCGGGGATTTTAACGCACGGGTTGGCCGCCTTCTACCAAGCGAGCACCACATTGGGGGTAGTTTTGGTCTCGGTGGCAGTCGATCAGACAATGGAGACAGACTACTTGCTCTTTGCTCTGATCATCGCTTGTTTCTTTCGAGCACTAGTTTTCGACACTCGAGGAGACAGACTGCTACCTGGCGCCCGCCCTCACAAACGCAAGAGTGCTCCCAGCTTGACCACATAGCAATCAGCTACAGATGGCGCGGAAGCGTAACGGACTGCCGATCGTACTGGTCAACTTTTCTAGACTCTGATCACGCATTGGTTCGTGCTAAGATTTGCATGCGTTTCGGAGGATCACCCAAGCGCGCCCCCTACCGACCGGACGTCGCGAATCTACAAAACGCTGCGGTTTTAACCAGGTACCAAGCCTCACTGTCAACTTTGCTTGGCTCAACTATTGACGGTGATCTCGATTCGCAGTGGGCGCATATCAAAGATGTGTTAGTTTCCGCCAGTATCGACACTTGTGGAGTTACCCGTCACCCACCGAAACATTGGATTTCCGCCGACTCCTTGTCGCTGATGGACAGACGCCGCTTGATCCCATCGGATTCCAGACACGTTGAAGAACGCCAATACTTTGGTCGAGAGTTGCGCAGGAGTCTGCAAATGGACCGCGAAGCTTGGTGGGGTGAACGTGCTAGGGAGATGGAGCTTGCTAGTCTCTGTGGTAATACCAGGAAACTTTTCCATCTCATTCGAGTCACCGAAGGTGTTCGATCTGGTATAAGTGAAACAATATGCGAAGAGGATGGCACCTTAATCACCAATCTTCAACGATGGTTGGAGCGATGGGCCGAACATTTTGGCTCGCAATTTTGTTGGCCCCCAGCTCCATCTGCTACCTCTGGAGCTCGCGCTGGGGCCGAGTGGTCTACCCCAACAGACCCTCCCTCTTCCCAGGAAATCGAGCAGGAGCTCCGGCACCTGAAGCGTTATAAAGCTCCCGGCCCTGATGGTCTTCACCCAGCTCTATTTAAAGATGGTGGCGCATCACTGGTCAGAGAACTCACCGTTTTGTTCTCGAAAATTTGGTCAAAAGAGAAGGTTCCATCATCTTGGGGTGAATCGATAGTCGTACCCATCTTCAAAAAGGGCCTGCGCACAATCTGCTCCAACTACAGAGGAATAAGTTTAGTCCCCATCGTTTGCAAACTGCTGGTGTCCATCATACTTCGCAGGCTATCCCCAACACGCGAATCGTTGCAACGAGAAGAACAAGCTGGGTTTCGCCCTGGTCGCGGCTGCATCGATCAAATCTCACTCGAGCTCCGCCATGTGTATCAGAGGCCAACGATTGTTGTGTTCCTGGATATCCGTGCAGCCTTCGATTCTGTCGATCGTACAGTACTGTGGCAGTGCCTTCTGAGGAACGGTGTCCCCGAGAAGTTCGTCTCCATACTACGCGCTGTATACAGTCTGACCTTGGGCAGGGTTAGGGCTTATGGCATGCTTTCGCCTACCTTTGTGGTCTCCAGTGGAGTTCGATAAGGATGCCCTATCTCTCCGTTCCTATTCAACTTTGCCATTGAGGATGTCCTGAAGAACACTCTGAGCGATTCGTTGAACGCTGGAGTTGAGCTCCTCCCAGGTAGTCGAGTTGTTGATTTGGATTATGCTGATGATATCGTCTTGCTGGGTGACGATCCACAGGTCGTCCAACTTGCATTAAACCGCTTGACGATTGAAGCATCAAAGTACGGTATGTACTTTTCGCCATCCAAATGCAAGGCTCTCCTTCAAGACTGGCAGGTGCCTCTGCCTGCACTCACGCTTGCTGGTGAGACACTGGAGGTTGTGGAGAGCTTTGTCTATTTGGGAAGTTGCATCACTGCTGGCGGGGCTATTGGAGACGAGATTTCGATGCGCATCTCGAGAGCACGCCTCGCTTTTTCTAGGCTGAGGCATTTGTGGCGTCGCCACGACATTCGTCTCTCCATCAAAGGGCGGGTCTATTGTGCAACTGTTCGTGCTGTACTGTTGTACGGATGCGAGACCTGGCCCATTCGTAAAGATGACTTGCGCAGGCTATCCGTCTTCGAGCACCGCTGTCTGCGGTCCATTGCCCGTGTGTGGTGGCAGCACCACGTAAGCAATGTGGAAGTTAGACAGCGTGTCTTGGGACGTGGAAGCCACTCGCTCGAGGAGCTCATCTCACTGCATCAACTGCGGTGGTTGGGACACGTATTGCGCATGCCTGTCCAGCGTTACCCCCGTCGTGCGTTGTTTGCACCTGCTGGACAGGGCTGGAAGAGACGGTCTGGTGGACAGCCTACAACATGGAGAAGCCGCATGAAAAAGTTGACGAAACAATTGGCCTCGGCCGGTTGTTGTCGACTACCTGGTTGGGGTCCGAGAGATGAGGATACTTGCTGGTTGAAAACCTTGGAAGTTATGGCTCAAGATCGATGTCAATGGCGGACGTGTGCATCAGTGTGTTGCGGTGTCCCTTCTTCCTCCCCCTAAAAAAGAACAAACTGAAAAAAAATTTCAAAATCTGTGAGTGGTAAACTTGACAAAAAAACATTTCTTGTTGCTCTTTTCTTATTATTCATATTGTTTTCCTATTCAGCCATGATTCCGATGGCACAATATCTGTACCACAGATTGTGTATTAATATATATATATATATATATATATATATATATATATATATATATATATATATATATATATATATATATATTCCTAAGTGACGCCGATTGACTGGATTACGCTAGACTGAAGGGTATTATGCTCTTTCAATGGAATTAGGCGAGCGAAAATTTTCAGCTTGGGTGTAAAATAACAGTCACATTCGCCAAAATCGGAGGCACCAATAGTTAATCCGGTAACAAACATCTAAATATTTTTCTCTGTACTCACTGAGGTTACGATAACCACACCCACATTGCGGGCTTCGTCCAATCATGACAGCGAAAGTTACCTCAGCGTACTCGACAATCCATCTGTGCAAGAAAGGGTTCATAAGGTTCGAAAACAGCTCTGTCGGTTCGACTGAAAGCTTAGGACAATAGTACCAGCCAAGGAACCTTGGAACATGTCCCAGTTGGCTCATGATTAACGCAACTACAGTGCTTTGTTCTGCTGGACTACAATATAGTCCATGGTCGTACTTAGGAAGAACCGGTTGTAAGAAGGATAGGGGCCACTCGTGGGATTTCATAACTCTGTTCAGTCCACGCTTGTGCTATATCACAGCTGGCCCCAACCCCCAGTTCAAGGCTCTACATGCGGCCATGTCCACCTCTGCATGATTAAAATGTTCATACATAATTAGAAAGCGTTTGAAATAGGGAAAACATTTATGTCGATAGTGGTGGACGTCCAGATATATAACTCCTAACCAGTGACTGTTCAAATGACACCTGCCGTGAACGCCCAGTCACTGCTCGCCATATTATTCACGTCAAAATATCTTGGAAACCAGCACCTATATACCGACATTTAAATGTTTTAAATAAACACGATGTTGTCGTTCACGCGTAACATCTCCAAAGAAGGCGTACGTTTAACTTTCTCGGTACTTCTGAACGTGATTCCACATAATGGCCTCAATGAAGGTCTCAGAGCCTGTAGGAAAACAAAGGGGCGGGACAGCGATACGGATATCCCAGGGCAGCATGAGCCGGGGGCCGAAATGTTAGTACAGATGATTGTTCGACACCAAGTGTAAACGGCAAATTTTTCGAATAAGTCGGTAACCAAAAACGCATGACGCTCGTCATAGTTACCTGCCATCTTTCCCTTCTATCCCTTGCACACATATGTCGCGTTACACATCGTCCCTCCCCATTTGCAGTTACTCGTGAAAGCAATGCATGGTCATCCATAAGGTGTTGTACATCAGCCTAATCAATAAAAAGGGTTCTATAGCCCAATACAATTACCTGCGTGACCTCCATGCTGAATCTGATATTAGTGAGCTGTCTGGATAGTTGCACACACACTTGTTTATACTCCGATTGTGTGCGTTATGAAGACACTGTTAGTTCCCGCCGAGCCGGTATTGGTAATGTTTGCCCTCACTAAACCTGATGGCGAATCTACCTAAATAAACGAATGGATGTCAAGGATTTGTTTGATATATCCATGTGATTTGATGCTGAGTTGAAACGGAAAGTGCTGTCTGTCGTAAACGGGTTGATTGAAGAAAAATCGACAATTTCAGCAAATTAATGACCCTGCAAACAAACACGCTTTCCTTAGGTAGGCAACTCCGCTTAGTAACAACCAGGATTGTCTTCTTAACGGTCGTGAAGAAGATCGGGCAGAAGAGGAATTCTTTGACAAGAGGAGATTGCAGTATTTTATGAACTTCTCAGTATAGGATAAAAGCAATGGACATTTTGATATTTGGGCTTCATACAAAAATATCAACTAGGGAAATCTACACCGAATATTGTGGCACTGCCGAACATCTTTCTTGCCCGAGTTATTGCGGTTGCAGGCTCATTCCTAAAACTAGCTCATAAATAACTACTTTCCATCAACAATGAACCAGACAAGGCACAGGGACCTGGAAGGTCCCGCCATAGAGAGGAAACTTGTCACTGAACTGAATTGATAGTGTCCTCGAAAGTTTTGCCGCAATTAAACTATGAAATATGTGTTTGTAAATTTTGCACACGAGTATTGCAACAATACATTTGTGAAGGGTTGTTCGTACTTGTGCTTTTTACAGACTTACAAATGCAAATGAAGAGCGAAAATCTCACGACCGCCCAGGGCGACAAGAGTAGTTACTACGTCACTGCGTGGAACTATTGACAAAATGTGCCGACCTCATATATATGAAACCCCCATACGTTTCACCAGTCGAACAATTTCACTAATTGTGGCACCCGAGGACAATGCTTCGCACCCATCAAGGGGAGCTGCCACTTTAGGGGATATCGTGGAAACCAAAGTAGAAACGATATACCAAGTGGACAGATGATCGACGCTACCAAAAAGTAAGACTGTGCAGCTGTAAACAGGCTAGTCCAAATGGGCACAGATGGAAAGTTTGGACAGTTTCCAAGGAAATATCTAGTGGAAGAAAGTGCGTTAAGAGCGCCATCTTCACAACATTTGTTTGACACTGTTGTATGTAGGAATTGCCTTTCATTCCAACACGACTACAATAGGTCGTTCGCTTGTGTGTTTCATTTTGCATGCTAATAACTGTATATATTTTCGAGTTATCGCAGTCTGCAATCAACAGACGATCCAAACATACATTCAGCTGCCACTGAGGAAATCGGCACTTCCTATCGTGTAGCCATTTGACAAGCAAGAATTCTGGGCCGCGATCACGAAGTCGTTTATTATGAGTAGGCTTACATATTTATAGAGTATATACACTAGTTGCAACAGTCCGCTTCACTGAAGCATCCTCTGTATTTGCATTCGGTCGCTGGCTCCGTTGCCATCGATTTACGTTTGTTCGCAACGTTCATTCAATCTAAAATTTTCTCGACTTTCTCGGTGAGTTGTACGATTGGCTCGGTTGGACACTCGTCCATCAGGCTACACGCTACTTCCATCGGTCCAATACCACAAACCTGGGCTCAAGTGCACACCAAGACGCTCCGCACGGGAACGCACTACTTCGTCTGTGCTTTTGGAACCTGTTGGCGCCTGATTGGTCACTTGCACATTCGATGGACGTTTGCTGGCTGTATTTGCAGAGCTCGACGCGGATGTGCGCCAAACATTTGCTGCTCGCCTGACCAGTTGATTCCGATAGCATTCTCACATTATATCGTGCTGAATTTCCGCTATCTGATACTCTGCGAGATACACGGTGGTGTTCGATTGGCCTTCTGCCTACCGGTACCATAGCATTTCCACCCACCAGCATTTCCAGCCCCCATCACATCCTTACCTTTTGCGTTTTTAGCATGGCGTTGCAACCTGTTCCTTATTAGCTTCCACTGCGTGTGCCTTTAGGGTCTTGGGCTTGGATATTAAGACTCCTCTCCGGTTGTTGTGGTTGTTGCTGTTGTTGTTGCTGCTGCTGATCTTCTCTTTGCGGTGTCTACTCATGACGCGCCCTTCTCAGTTGCACGCGATTCAGTCGAATGAGATTACATCCAACCTTGACTTCATAATTCCTCTCTCCCTTCCGGCCTTCGATCACTCCCTTCCGCAAGCATTCTTCGGATTCCGGTGCTGGCTGCACCCATATCTCCTCTCTCGTAGCTACTGGTTGGAGGATTTCCGATCGGCGATCATAGTACTTCTTCTGCCTTAGCATTCTGTTTCGTAATCTCTCGTGCAGAATATTGGCAGGTGCTGGCTCGGGCCGTACTGGAGTTGTAGTGGTCGGTATTTGCGTTCTTGTTCGGCGACTGAATAGAGGCTGCGCAGGAGTCGCTCCGATATCAACAGATAGCGTGCTCCTTCGATCCTGGGTCTCCTTGACTTTTGTAAACACTTTCTTTGCCACCTTTACTGCGAACTAAGCCTTTCGGTTTGACTGGCTATAGTATGGACAGGTTAGCCGGTGACGAAAATCTCACTTATCGCTGAAAGCAGGAATCACTGCACTATTAAATTGCGATCCGTACTTGGAAATCATTACCACGGTTGTGCCATGCCGAGCGAACTGGTACCGCTACTTTTTCTCCGTCGCCTGCTTACTAATCGTCGTAACAGCATCTATCTCGAAGTATTCACTAAAATAATCTACCACAATTAAGTAATTCCTTCCGTCATAAGCAAACATTTCCAGTGCAACCATCTGCCAGGGTCTGTCAGGAACGTCACGAAGCATAATCCGTTCTTTTGGCTGGCGTGCGTCGTGTGTCCTGCATGCCACACAATTGGAGACATTCTCAAGTGTTTGGCTGACCATTCCGGGCCAGAAACAACAGCTCACTAGCACTTGCCACGCGGTTGTTTTTTCATAGATGTGCATAGTGTATCAGCTCCAGCACACAACGTTGCAGCGCATTTGGAACTGCTATCCAGTTGCATTTGAATAGTAGTCCCTGTTGCGTAATGATTTCATTGCGAAAAAGAAAAAATGGAATCAGTTCCTTAGGCAACTTTTTCTTGTTTTCGAGTCATCCGTTCATTATCCTTTGCTTCAGTAGCCTGCATAGTTCCTCCAATTACGTGCACCGTTGAAGCTGCTGTAAGAGTTTCTCAGTGACGGCGCTCAACCGTGTTGCATGGACAAAATCTGGGTCTCCTTCGTTTCCGAGCGTGTCTGAAAGGGCCGCTCTTGACAGCGAGTCCGCAGCGTGCACATGGGATCCTGACCGGTAGACACTCTAGGTCATACCACTGCAGACGAATAAGCATCCTTTGCAGATGGCGAGGAACAGCACGGAGCGGCATACTCGCGGTCGATACCAGGGGCTTGTGATATGCAAAGGCGGTGGATTTGCGACCAAGCGTTTAGTCCTTGAAACGCTCCACTGTGTAAACCAATCCAAGCATTTCTTTTTCTAGTTGCGCTTAACGACGCTCGGCCTCTGCCAGATTCCGGCTGCGAAAATCGATAGGCTTACCGTTCTACATGAGTGCGGCTCCGATACCATAATGACGGCTGTTACGCTGGATCACAAGTAGGAATATCGAGTTATAGTAAACGAGAACTGAGACGCTATTGATCAACTGCTTCGTTTTCTGAAATGCTCGCGCCTGCTCTGTGTCTCAATGCCACTTCTTTCCCTAATGCGCCAGTTTGAGTATCGGTACCAGTACACTGGCTAATCCGGAGAAGAAACGACAGATAATTCAACATCCCATTATGCCAGCTAACGGCTTTTACGTCAGTAGCAGAAGGCATCTCTTTGATGACCCTGACTTACTCTGGACCTGGTTTCAGTCCTTTGGAGCTCAGCACTTGTCCATGAAACACCATTTCCGTCCTAAGCAACTAGATCTTCTCCCGTTTTAGCTTGATATTCCTTTCAAAACAACGCTGCAAAAATCAAGCGAGGCTCTGGTCGTGCTCTTCTCGCGTAGCGTCAAAAACTAAAACGTCGTCTGCTACCCAGAACGATCCTAGTACATCGTCCAAAGTCTGCACCAGTCGCTTCTGGACTATCTCGCTAGATACCTTCAGTCCAAACGGTAGACGAAGCCAACGGAAGCGCCGGGAAGGTGTCCCAAACGTTGTCAGGTAGCTTGACTCTTCTTCAAGTAATACGTGCCAAAACACCAAAGCACATTCGACTTTTGTGAATATTCTAGCTCCGGATAGCACAAAAATTACATCGTGTAGCGTAGGTAGTGTTTAATATTCCCTCCTGAGCGCAGCATAAAGTGGTTTTGGATCAATGCACACGGGTAGTTCTCCAGCCTTTTTAGTGACAATCGCCACCTGGTTAACTCAATCGTTCAACTGCGCAAATTTACCTATTACACCCAAACTGATGAGACGCTGCAGCTTATCTAAAAACTTTTCACATAAGCCAATAGGCACCTTTCTGTTTGGCAACACTATTGGCTTAGAGGATTCGATTAAAGATAACTGAGTACACCTTCCAAATCTCCCCAGAAACCCATTAAACACGCTCATGGTACCTGTCAGCAAAATCTGTGCTACCTTCCCAAGAATGAACAAAACTTGCATGGTTAAAAGAAACGAAACCGACACTCTGAATATAATCAATGCTCAAAATGGGCATAAGATCTCCTGAGACTATCAGGAAATCCAGTTGGTCTTCTGTGCCGTTTCTCGAATTGATGGACTTCAACGTGGCTGCATCTCCTTGGAGCAGCTTTGAACGGTTCTATATTCTGAGGCAATTCTGCGTTCAATAAAATGTCACGCCCATACTGTGCTTCTCCAGTAGGATGTTGACAGTAGCCCCTGAGTCCAGTTGGAAGCGCACCTGTCGTCCTCAAAACCAAAGAGTCACCAAAACACACCTGTTTGTCACTATTTTTAAGTTGTTTATCAAAA